AAGGCAGAAATAAAGAAGTTCTTCGAAACCAAGGAGAATGAAGACACAACATGCCAGAATCTCTGGGACACATTTAAAGCAGTCTCTAGAGGAAAGTATATAGCAATAAGTGCCCATATGAGGAGAATGGAGAGATCCAAAATTGACACCCTATCGTCAAAATTGAAAGAGCTAGAGGAGCAAGATCAAAAAAACTCAAAACCCAACAGAAGACAAGAAATAACTAAGATCAGAGCTGAACTGAAGGAGATTGAGACACGAAAAACCCTCCAAAAAAATCAATAAATCCAAGAGCTGGTTGTTTGAAAAGATCAACAAAATAGACAGACCACTAGCCAGATTGATTAAAAAGAAAAGAGAACAACCAAATAGATGCAATAAAAAATGTTAAATGGGAAATCACCACAGATTCCACAGAAATTCAAACCATCATCAGAGAATATTACAAACAACTCTATGAACATAAACTAGTAAACCTGGAAGAAATGGATAAATTCCTGGACTCCTGTGTCCTCCCAAGCCTTAACCAGGAGGAAGCTGAAACTATGAATAGACCAATAACAAGGTCAGAAGTCGAGGCAGCAATTAAGAGCCTACCACACAAAAAAAGCCCAGGTCCAGATGGGTTCACAGCCGAATTCTACCAGACACACAAAGAGGAGCTGGTACCATTTCTTCTGAAACTATTCCAAATAATCCAAAAAGAAGGAATCCTACCCAAATCATTCTACGAGACCAATATCATCCTGATACCAAAACCCGGCAGAGACCCAACAAGAAAAGAAAACTTCAGGCCAATATCCATGATGAACATAGATGCAAAAATCTTCAATAAAATATTGGCAAGCCGACTGCAACAGCAAATCAAAAAACTTATTCATCATGATCAAGTAGGATTCATCCCGGGTTGCAAGGCTGGTTCAACATACACAAGTCTATAAACGTAATTCACCACATAAACAGAACCAAAAACAAAAACCACATGATTATCTCAATTGATGCAGAGAAGGCATTTGACAAAATTCAACAGCCCTTTATGCTAAAAACCCTCAATAAACCTGGTATTGATGGAACGTATCTCAAAGTAATAAAAGCTATTTATGACAAACCAACAGCCAATATCATACTGAATGGGCAAAAACTGGAAGCATTCCCTTTGAAATCCGGCACTAGACAAGGATGCCCTCTGTCACCACTCCTATTCAATACAGTACTGGAAGTTCTAGCCAGAGCAATCAGGCAAGAAAAAGAAATAAAGGGTATTCAAATAGAAAAGGTGGAAGCCAAATTGTCTCTATCTGCAGACGACATGATAGTATACCTAGAAGACCCCATCACCTCAGCCCAAAAACTCCTGAAACTGATAAGCAACTTCAGCAAAGTCTCAGGATATAAAATCAATGTGCAAAAATCACAAGCCTTCCTCTACACCAATGACAGTCTTAAAGAGAGCCAAATCAAGAACGAACTGCCATTCACAATTGCTACAAAAAGAATAAAATACCTTGGAATACAACTCACAAGGAACGTAAGGGACCTCTTCAGGGAAAACTACAAACCACTGCTCAACGAAATGAGAGAGGACACAAACAGACGGAGAAACATTCCATGCTCATGGTTAGGAAGAATTAATATCGTGAAAATGGCTATACTGCCCAAAGTAATTTACAGAATCAACGCTATCCCCATCAAGCTACCATTGACTTTCTTCACAGAACTGGAAAAAACCACCATGAACTTCATATGGAACCAAAAGAGAGCCCGCATAGCCAAGTCAATTCTAAGCAAAAAGAACACAGCGGGAGGCATCACACTACCGGATTTCAAACTATACTATAAGGCTACAGTAATCAAAACAGCATGGTACTGGTACCAAAACAGAGATATAGATCAATGGAACAGAACAGAGGCATCAGAGGCAACACAACATATCTACAACTATACAATCTTTGATAAACCTGACAAAAACCAGCAATGGGGAAAGGATTCCCTGTTCAACAAATGGTGCTGGGAAAACTGGCTAGCCATGTGTAGAAAGCAGAAACTGGACCCCTTCCTGACACCTTACACCAAAATTAACTCCAGATGGATTAAAGACTTAAACATAAGACCCGGCACCATAAAAACCCTAGAAGGAAATCTAGGCAAAGCCATCCAGGACATAGGAGTAGGCAAGGACTTCATGAACAAAACACCAAAACCATTGGCAACAAAAGCCAAAATAGACAAATGGGACCTAATGAAACTCCACAGCTTCTGCACGGCAAAAGAAACAGTCTCTAGTGTGAATCGGCAACCAACAGAATGGGAAAAAATTTTTGCAGTTTACCCATCTGACAAAGGGCTGATATCCAGAATTTACAAAGAACTCAAACAGATTTACAGGAAAAAAACAAACAAGCCCATTCCAAAGTGGGCAAAGGATATGAACAGACACTTTACGGAAGAAGACATATATGAAGCCAACAATCATGAAAAAATGCTCATCGTCACTGGTCATCAGAGAGATGCAAATCAAAACCACATTGAGATACTATCTCACGCCAGTTAGAATGGCGATCATTAAAAAATTTGGAGACAACAGATGCTGGAGAGGATGTGGAGAAAAAGGAACACTTTTACACTGTTGGTGGGAGTGTAAATTAGTTCAACCATTGTGGAAGACGGTGTGGCGATTCCTCAAGGCCTTAGAAATAGAAATTCCATTTGACCCAGCAATCCCATTACTGGGTATATATCCAAAGGACTATAAATTGTTCTACTACAAGGACACATGTACACGAATGTTCATTGCAGCACTGTTTACAATAGCAAAGACCTGGAATCAACCCAAATGCCCATCGATGATAGACTGGATTGGGAAAATGTGGCACATATACAACATGGAATATTATGCAGCAATCAGAAATGATGAGTTTGTGTCGTTTGTAGGGACGTGGATGAATCTGGAGAACATCATTCTCAGCAAACTGACACAAGAACAGAAAATGAAACACCGCATATTCTCGCTCATAGGCAGGTGATGAAAAATGAGAACACATGGACACAGAGAGGGGAGTACTAAACACTGGGGTCTATAGGGGGGAAAGGGGAGGGCCAGTGGGAGGGGGAGGGATTGCCTGGGGAGAAATACCAAATGTGGGTGAAGGGGAGAAAGTAAACAAAACACACTGCCATGTGTGTACCTATGCAACTGTATTGCATGCTCTGCACATGTACCCCAAAACCTAAAATTCAATAAAAAGAAAATAAATTTAAAAAAAAACAACAAAGAGCAAATTAGCAAGGTAGTCCAGGTGTACAGAAAGAAATATGTCATCTACATCCAGTGGGTGCAGTATAAGAAGGTCAACAGCACAACCATCTATGTGGGCATTCACCTGAGCAATGTGGTGGTTACCAGGCTAAAACTGGAAAGGATTGGAAAAAAATTTTTGAACCCAAGCCAAGTCTTGACAAGTTGGAAAAGAGAAAGGCAAATATAAGGAAGAACTTATTGACAAATGCAGGAATAAATATAACCTGTTGTGCAACTACGGTTTAACTATGGTTTAGATTTTTAGGCTAGGGTGTATTTCTTTGGAACTTTTCAGAACGTCTCTGGAACATTTCATTTCCTGTTTTGTTACCTGTGGCTGATAAATGTACTTTTGAAATTCTGATTAATAATTTTATGAATAAAAATGGTAAATGCTTCCTAATTTCAAATGGTATTTGCATTGTTTTATAAATAAAATCCACTTACTATTCAAAAAAAAAAAAAGAATTTCCTTAAAGAGCACTCAGCTTAATTAAAAGTGGATATCCAAGTTACAGGTATATTTAAAAGGCCTTTATGTTTTCCTTTTCTTGGACCTTGTTTTGCTGTAAAAAGGTTTTATTTCTCAGTTGACTGAATTCTTTTTCTCCATTTTGCCTTGTCATTCTTAATGTACACACGAGAGAGAAGAGACCTCTGTTTTCCTCACAGAACCCCAGGAATTAAAAGTGGACAGATACCTCTTAAAATCTGCTTTTGGCCCACCTATGCCTGTTTATTAGGCCTTAGAAGCTACATGTTTTCCTAGCCCTGTTTCTTAAGGGCTCCACCCCAAGGCCAATAATCCAATTAGGAGATTGGTAAATGAAAAATCTTATGGTGACTGGGTTTTCTCCTGCCTCTCTGTGTAGTTATATATGTGTTATACGTTTGGTGTCTTAAAAAGAGTTCTGATTAATTGGCCTAGAGGAATAGAAATGCTTGGATCAAATACTTTTCAAAGGGAAGATAAAAGCTGTGGTACCTTTTATTCACAGGACCTTAATCTTTGAGAAATAAAAACAGCCTTAAAGATTACTGGTAAAATGCAAATGTCATCAAAATATGAATAGGTGAACTAAATTATGTAGGTCAGAGACTATGTTTGCTATATGGTTTAAGATTATAAACTGCTTTTCTGTTTTTTGACAACTATTTAGCTTGCCTGCTTCACAACTGGTAATGCCTGGGGACATACAGAACTAACGACACAATTATGTTGGAGGGAGTCAAACCTTGGCTGCACCTATAGCACTTAAAACAACTTACCAGGTTTTACATTAAAGTCAAAAATTGCTAGAAGCTACCATTATAACATGTAATTGAAACAATTGAAAATAAATTTACATATGAGGTGTGTAAGAACAGCAAAATGTGTTTTTAATAAAAGATTATAAGATGGTGTCGAAATTTAAATTTTGGGTAGGGTTAAAGGATTGTTTTGAATTGGATGAGATAAAGGCAAAAGTTCAAATAAGTTGTGAAAGGACTGTAAAAATTAATCTTGCAAAAGAAATTCCATGTGTGAACATACTGACTGATTTCAAAAGGGTAATACAGTTTTTCTAAAAATGGAACACTGAAGTAAAATGCAACAAGGTACTCTTAAGGCACTAATCTGCTCTGGCAAAATTTGTAAAGATCTTTAAAAGGTTTTTTGCTTTTTTAAATTTCTAAGTCATCATTTTGGTAAAATAAATACCTTATGGTAATCTGGAAATCTATTTAATAATATCGAGTATTTTAAATGTCTAATATATTTAACAGGCTTGCAGAAATCAAACTTCAGTTTCAAAACTGTCTTTCCTGATGCTTGGCTTTTGGATGTTACAGAGGGCCTGTGGAGGATCTGAAAAAGAGGTAAACAGGATTATCTGACGCATTTAGTTACATGGGATTGCCAAAATAGTATTCAGTGTTCTTCAGGTTACATTTTGATGAATAATACTAATATATGTTCCAAAACTGTCTGGGATTTCTAAAATTCTAATGTCTAAAGTATATTCTATCAATCATTATTCAGGGTGTTATGTATGTTTCTATTTGTAACTACCCTGGACATTTTGTTATCACAGATAATTGTTGTTTTGTTTTGATCCTTTGATGGTTTATAATCAGCTATATAACTTTGACAGGTGCTTTCAAAAGCAGGTTTCTGATAACTTTAGAGATTGTGACATTGGAATAAAGGAAAAATGTACAGGACTTGTGAAAAACTGAAATTTTCATTAATATCAAGCAAAATAATAGTTAACTGAATGGACTACTAATAGAAAACTGGAGTAATCTTTTTGACTTTTACTTAGAATATTGCTGATCTTTGTTTTGTTTTTCGGAATCAAAGAAACATTATTTTGTACTATTTATGGACTTTCATAATTGGGAAAGGTATACTCCTGTGAACACAATTTGGAGCATTATTATTCTCTCTCTCTCTTCCTTGCTTCTCCAGAATTTGGAAACTAGTTGTGAGTATTCTTAACTCATGGCAATATAGTTGTTTGCATCAGTGCAATAAGCATCTATTTTCTTTTGCAACAAGACAGAAACTGGTTATTTTACCATGGCTTTGACTGGAAAGGTATGCTTCCCTTTAAGGAGTCAAGCTTGACTTGCAGAGCCAATAAAAGCCCCTTAAAATAACTAGCACCATATCCCTGTCTATGCAGTCCATGTACAGTGTTCCTAACCTGTGGTAAGTAAAGCATGTCACTTTCTGACAGGCCTAGGAGCTCCAAGTTTATCTTAGAACCTTAAGAGGAGAGGATCACCCAACTCACAGGTATTTGAGGATACCAACCCATGGCTGGGCTCAGCTTTCAAAGGTCTTATCTGAGATTTCTTATGGAACAGAATTCCATCAAAGCCAGTCTAAAATAAAAGACCTATGTAAAAATAATTATTCTTGCTCCACTTTATGGAAATAATCAGGTCAAGTATAAGGCTAAAGTCTATTTTGCAAACAACTCAGTCCTATCATGATTTTCAAAACATATATATTTGTCATTAAATTGTAGACTCATTAGTTGTCTTTCATTTTCGCATACATTTTTAGACTAACCCTGCTTTTTCCTGTGAACCACCCAGAATCTCTGGCTGCAGCTCAGAAAGAACAAAATGAATGGGTAATGTAGAATTCTGGATTAGTATTCTAATTCTGAGTAATTACCCTGCCAGGTGTTGGGAATAAACAGGATATCCATCACCCACAGGTTTCCTTTTTAGGAAAGTAAGGCTAAGGAGCTAACCAAAGTCAAGCCCCATGCACTCAAATCTTAGCAAGCAATAACTATAGCCACCAGTTACCTGGGCATGTCACAATACATCCGTTTTTCTCCCTCGTTGGAGGAGGACTCAATTCCACAGCTCCACTTTAGCATTCAGCTTATGATAAGAAGTCCATGCAGCAACCCAAGACACATTTTTATCCCAAACTCAATTTCAAACTTTGGGTCAAAACCCTAGGAAAGAAAGCTGGATCTGAGCGATCCAGAAGCAGACGATAACAGAAGTTAAAAGGCACAGCACAGGTTAGTGTGACCAATCCCTGCTGATTCAGCCAAGTTTCATAGATAAAGAGCACACTAGTACCCATGGCATATAGGTATGATCTCATAAATGAGGTCTAGAGTATTCAAAGGCTAATAACAGCAGGGGAGACAGGGTATACGTGGGTAAGAGCAGATACTCTCATTCCCTAGGCCTCCATTAACATGGGTGAAAGCCACTTTGACACCCATGGATGGCATCCTGTCACAGTGGCCAGGACTCAGGGATATAGAGACAGAGGAAAGAAAGAAGAATGCCTTATTCCCCCCTCCCACCCGCTCAGGTACCCAAGGTGTTTGCTAGGAAGAGAAAAGAACCAGGGATGTCTGATCCCCTCTTTCTAGATGAGTAGCCATTCATCTTCAGTCTGTAACCCTTTCAAACACATCTGAACCCCTGGGACTCCTCTGGAAAAAAATGCCTTCTTTTTTTCCTCCTCTGTCCTCTCTTCACTGATAGGTAATTTTGTCTCTATACTATGGGACACTCCCCCTCAGAGGCATCCTCCAAACTAGGAAGAGTTAATTTCCCAAACCTTAAACTGGTTGGCTTAGGATTGGGCTCAGGGGAAAGGAACCCAGAAGCCTGACATGCCAGCAAAAAATTAACCCTTTTTTTGCTGTCCAGGTTTTTGGCCTCCCTCTCCCCAAGCAAATTCGTAAAAGAACTTGGGATTTTTGAGCTGTCCTTAGCCCCTCCTCATATCATTTTAATAAATGTTTTCTAATAACCCTGTGTCTTACCACCTTCAGGCCATCAAACTCCAGTCATGCAACCAGAGCCTCAGACAATAGCCTCTTTTGTCAAGGGCCCTTAGAGTAGTTTCTGAGGGAGCCCTGATTGCCGTTTTCTCAAAACAGCGCCCCCTGTCAGCAGGAAGCAGTTAGGATCAGTCTTCGTCCTTATTCTAAAGAAGTTAGATGTACTTCTCTAGAGAAGGGAATGAGACAGCCAAATGCCTAGGCAAATAAAGAGGGGTCCCTGGAGAATCTCTGACGCACCCCACAGCGTTCACATCAGATGCTTTTGTGCAGTTGAGGAAATCTTCCCAGGGCTTATCTGGACATGCCAAGAGTGGACTGGAACCCAACATGTACACTGAGGAAATGAGTGGAGCCACAGGGAATTCCTGCCTTATGCAGGGGAGGGACATGCTCCCTTCAGCTCAGGTGGTGACCTGGGAATCAATCTGTGAAGTGGAGGGCCTGTTAGCAGGACTCCATCTTGCTTTGGTGCTAGTTTTTTGTTTTTCCTTTTCACCCAATAAATTCCTCTCTAATCACCCTCCAGTGTGTCTGTGTGCCTAATCCTTCTTGGTTGTTTGACAAGAACCCAATTTTTTCTAAAACAGTATCAAGTATATCCAAGAAAATATGACCATCTATTAAGTAGATAATTTGGATGATTACTGGTCTCCAGTGTGAATTATATCACTTAGAAAAAAAATTGCTTTGAATTTAAGAAAGGTTTCAGATAGTTAAATAAACCAAAGATAAAAACGAACATGACAGATATCCTTACATTTCTTCCACTGAAAAAGCAGCAAACATTTAAAAAATATTGGTGTCATGGGTTAAACTGTATTCCTTAAAAAGATAAGTTGAAGGCCTGGTGTGGTGGTTCACACCTACAATCCCAGCACTTTGGGAGGCCGAAGCAGGTGGATCATCTGAGGTCAGGAGTTCGAGACCATCCCCGTCTCTATTAAAAATACAAAAATTAGCTGGGTGTAGTGTTGCATGCCTGTAATCCCAGCTACTCGGGAGGCTGAGGCAGGAGAATCACTTAAACTCGGGAAGCAGAGGTTGTGGTGAGCCAAGATAGCGCCATTGCACTTCAGCCAGGGCAACAAAAGCAAAACTCCACTTCAAAAACAAAAAGGAAAAAAAAAAAGATAAGTTGAAGTCAACCCCTTGTAACAAACTTCAGAAAGTGTTCTTATTTGGAAATAGGGTCTCTGCAGATGAGTCAAGCTAAGATGAGGTCCTTAAGGTGAGGCCTAATTTAATGTCTGGTGTCCCTAAAAAAGGGGAAATGTTGGACCTACGAACGCAAAGAAGAATATGTGAAGAGACACAGAGACAATGCCATGTAGAAGCAGAGATTGGAATGATACACCTACAAGCCAAGGAAAGCCAAAGATTGCCAGTAAAACATCAAAAGCTAGGAGACACGCATATGATAGATTCTACTTCAGTCAACCAAAGGAACCAACTCTGCCAACACCTTGATTTCCAACTGGCCATAAAAAATAGCCAACCAACAACCCCCAGGGCTGCTCTGCCTGTAGCATAGCCACCCCTTTCAATCTTTTACTTTCTTAATAAACTTGTTTCCCTATACAGTCGGCTTGCTCTTGAATTCCTTCCTGCACAAAGCCAAGAACCCATGTGGCTTCCTAGGCTAAACCCCAATTTTGGGGTTTTCCCTCTGACATTATGTCCTAATTAGGTATTCCAAATTTCATCATAAGGACAAAAAAACTGTTTTGAAAGTGATTGTTCTTAGACTACAAGAAAAAATTTAACACTATAAACAATTGATATTAACAGAAAATCTCTAATTACTAAAACTCCATATTACCTACTGATTACCAATTTAATAGGTAAGTCATTTGATAAAATCTCTTTTGTCAAACTGTGGCTCAAACAGGAATTTATTAAAGCTAGTAAAAGCTAAACAAAAGAGCATTATCACTAATTACAAAACTCAACATAGGATTTGGAAATGCTTAAAATGATGTGGTGAATTATTAAATATTTTATAATTTATAATACTAATATTTCATTTACTTGGAGATTAAAAATAAGTATCTATTTTAATTTACATACTGAGTTATTTAAATCCTAATAACAGTTGACATGTACTTTAGGTATTGGTTTGTGTATATTATTATCATGCCTAACAAAAACCTTCTAAGCTAGATTAAGGATTTATGGTCTCCTCTTCCGAAGATCTAAAATAGGTTTCTCTATTTCTGATGACCAAACATCAGCAGTGATCAATATCATATTATTTGAAGCTGTGTTTGCCCCTTATACATCTTATGCCTATTTCAGTAAGACAAGTACCTAGGCAACAGATGATGATCTTCTCAAGGATACATGAACACTACTCTTCACAAATCATCTGCTAAAAAAGTTTTCCCATGGCTGACAATTCCCTTAAGAAAAAGACTTGTCTTTTTTTTGTTTTTAACATTTCTTGGCATCAAGAAAAAGATTAAACAGAAGAAACAACTAGACATAAAGAGAAAGGGCAACTGACAATACTACTTGCTTTTATAGCACTTTGAACCAT